TTCCTTTTCTCTCCCCCCCCCCCCCCCCGCTCCTTGCTTTCGTGAAATCTCTGCCCGGATAATTTCCCTCGTAGTAAACGCTTCGTGACAACGGCTGCCTTCCCCACGATGATTTTTTTTGGGGGGGGGGGGAGGGGGGGGGGGGAGCCCTTCGGAGATCTCCTCCCTCCCTGCCGCTCGGCCGCGGGGCTCAGGTACTGCCGGGAGCGATCCCCCCAATTCCTTAGCGTGGTTCCCGGCGGGAAGCGGCCCCCGAGCCCGGGTTTTCCTCTCCGCGACAAACTCTGCTCCCCGTCCCACCTCGCTGCTCTTGCGACAGAACTCGACGCTTGCTCATCCTCCGGTGAGGAGTTCTCCGCCGGGACTGCTCTGCTGTGGTTAAAAAAAATACTATAATAATAATAAAGAAAGAAAAAATAAATAACGAAAATTACCTAGTTCGAAGACGGACGGTGTTCGGTGTCGCTCAAAAGACGGTTCGTCTTTTGCGTACAAACCCCGTGGTAAAAGTGAATTCTTTTCGTAGCCCTTGCAGTGACGGTGTAAAAATTGAGGGGCGGTGGGAAGTAGTAAGTAGTGGTACTGAAGAATAGATCCAAACTGGGAACCGTGAATAAGCCTTCCTGGAGGGACCCGGACTGAACGGCGGGTAGGTAGGCAATTCCCTTGCTGCTGCTCTGAAAATTGAGGGGAAAATGGGAGTGTGACGCGCTGGCACAATTTTTTTTTTTTTTTTTAAAACGCCTCTGAGACAAAAGATAAAAAAAAAAAAAAGTAGCGTTGCGATGGAAATGGGCGAGGGAAGAGGTGGAACGAGTAAGTACCAACGAGCGGGCACGCCTGCCCCCCCCCAACCCCCCCTTCCAGCAACCCGGAGCCGGGGGCTGAACCTCGGCAAAAGCCAGGGCGTTCGGAAATGTTGCAACAGCGCTGGGGAAGTCTCTAAAGAAAAGCTGAATTGTTCGAACTTAGGTAACTTAAGGAAACTCGGGATGACCTACATTGCTTTTCTGAGTCAGCAGCTGCAGCCCCAAACCCGGCGGGTCCGTCCGCGCTCCCGCCGCCACCCCCCACCCCCCCCGGGGGGAGCCGCCCCCCCCGGCTCCCTTCTTCTTCCCGGGTTTACAAGTAAACTCGCTTGGATCGAGACGGTTTCACTTCTGCCGTCAGGAATGCCTCCGCGTTTTGGGTTGGTTTGGGGTTTTTTTGGGGGTGGGTGGGTTTGGTTTTTTTTTTTTTAATTTTTTTGCAGGTTTGCGGACAGAGCAGCGTGCCTGCTTCGGTGGTGGTTTACCGGCTGGTTTGTGAGGGGGAAAGAGAATTTAAGCAGAGGACAAGGTTGTTTTGGGGTTGGTTTTTTTGTTTTTTGTTTTTTTGTTTTTTTTTCTCCCAAGTTTTTAAGAGCTGTACTTTATTTTCCGGAGGGGTACGGATTGTTTCCTGCACCGGGCGGTGGATGCCTTGCAGGGAAAAATCACTACGTGTTGCACGCCGCTTCGCTCTTTAGATAGAGAAGGAAATTCTGAAGTTCCTATCAAAAGCTTACCCAACAGTTTTCCACATTCCTCCTCTAGTGTAATATAAAATTAGCAACGATTAAGCTCCGAATGTCCACACTCTCAAGACTCGTGGTTTAATCCAGTCCGCAGCGAGCTGGGACGGTCGCACCGACCTTTTTTTATTAAACGCACGGGCGGCATCAGGGGAAGAACCAAAAATGTTTTAACATCTTGATTAAAGTAATCTCTGCGCGAAGTTACCGCATCACTCGGGCAAATTGGGCAGTCGGCTTGCTTTTCTATCAAAATGACGAAAAGAGCAGAGATGAAATGACCTCAGAACCCCTCCGCCTTTTGGAAAGAAGCGCTTGCTGCCTCTCCCTTCCCCCCCCCCCCCC